GCCCCTTCCGCCCCGCCCCATGCCCTGTCCCGCCCTGCCTCGCCCTCTCTGCCCACCCGAGGCCGCTCACCCCTGCCTGTCCTCTGTGCCTTAGGACATTGTGGTCGCGGAGCTGATGAAGAAGCTGGACATCCTGGGCGATAACGCCGTAAGTGTATGTCGCTCTCCTGGCTTGTGCATGCCCCTCACACCCACAACCCCCAGCCCAGCCCTGCCCCTCTGGGGTCCAGGAGTCCTACCAGCCTCCCACAGCCCTGCCATGGGCCACGCTGCCTGAGACCCTTCCCGCGGCCCAGAGCCTGCTTAGAATCGGAGGCTTCCTCACACTGCTCCAGGGCCCAGTGGGACCTCTGCTGTGCACACCTGGTTCTTCCAGCTGACGGCACTTCCCGTCACACTGCCCAGCTTCTGGGGTCTCTCTCTCAGCCCTTCCAGACTTGCCGTGAGGATGCGGGGGCTGTTGCTCTTAGACAAGCCGAGACCCTTAGGGATTCCACTTCCTTGGCTTGGGGGAAGAAGCAGACTCTATAGATAACCCCTAAATTTCATTGGGGCAGAGTTCCAATTTCTATAGCAAACTCCTTGAAAGGATGTTAATTACTGAGTGGGCAAAGTAAACGCACCCTTTCATCCCACTTTTCATTCGTCCATCACTAATCCTGCGCTCTCCATCCATTTATTCCCCATCAATGCATCATCTACCTAGCCCTTCATTCATGCTCTGTCTTATATCTATCCATCCATCTATCCTGTGTAATCCATCCATCCGTCCCCCATAATCCATCTATCCGTTCTCCATCCTTCATCTATCCTTCATCCATCATCCTTAATCCATGAATTTATCTATCATCCACAATCTGTTCATCCATCCTCCGTCCATCCATCATCACTAATCCATCCATTCTCCATCCTCCATCTGTCCTCTATCCACAACCCTCCATCCATTCCTTCTCCATCTACTATATTCTACCCATTAATCTTTCACCCATCCATCCATCTCCCATTCATCCTCCATAATCCATCCATTCATTCTCCATCCATCCTTCATCCTTTATCCTCCATTCATTCATCCATTCTCCAGAATCCATCTATCAATCCATCCACCCTCCATAATTTATCCATGCATCCTCCATCCACCATTCATCCATCCATCCTCCATAAGCTATTTATCCATCTTTCCATCCTTCACCCTTTATCCTTCCATCCATCCACAGCCCCTCCCTCCCTCCATCCATCCATCCATCCATCATCCTACCTTCATTGATCTACTCCATCCAGGGTCCTGCATCAGAGGACTCCCTTCTCCCCTTGCCTGCCCAGCCCCTGGGGAGCAGTGAGGCACAAGGCAGGGGTGCTTTCAGCAGGGAGGCTCTGGGTATGGGTCTGCTTCTTTCAGACCTGGGGCTCCATTGTGGTCACAGGTGGCCGAAGAGTCACAGCAGGGTGGCCGTGGACCTGACATGCTCTGGGGTCCAGTCCTGGGTATCAGCCCCCTCATGAGGTCTTGGGAACTGTATTGGGCAACTCTCTGATTCACAGTTGGAGAGGCTGAGTCCCCAGAGGTACTGCCCAGGGTCACAGAGCTGATGTAGTGGCAGAGTTGGGGACATCCAGCCCCGCCCAGGCCTATTTCAGGGTTCCTGCCCAGCCCCATAGCTGTCCACCAAGAGTGCCACTGAGTGTGGTGGCCCTGCAGTCATCATGCAGCCTCTGAGGCCATCATCACAGAGTCTAGGGATGGAGGAAGTTGAGGAGTGGAGGGCTCATGGCCAGGCTTAAGCTCAGGGAACCTGTGGAGATGCTGGGGAGCTCCTGACAACAGGCTGACTGCATCCCTTCAAGCCTGTCTGTGCAGTCAGTGTTGAGCAAGCTTCACATGCACCTTGTGGTTTAACCACATCGGGTAGATTCCCTCTATCACCCTGAAGCCAACTGCTCAGCCTCCCCAACTTAAAGTGTTGGGAGAAGTCTGTGGCCTGCCTAGCCCTGCCCAGCCCTGCCATGGGAGAAGGGAGCAGGGCAGGAGAGATGAGGGCACCCAGCCCCAGCCGTGCAGGGTGAGGTTCTTGCCTGAGTCAGGAGTGCAGCTGGCCCCCACCATGGACTACAGACTGAGCCTGACTCCCCTCTGTGGGAGACCCGTGAGGACGTTGGGGGTGGGGGAGACCCGTGAGGACGTTGAGGGGGGCGTACAGCAAGAGTTGCCTGCCATTAAGGAGCTTGCACTCTAGGGAGAGAACGGCATGGGCAGGGCTTTTGGAGTGAGCTGGCATGAATCAGAGAGGCTCTGGGGAAAGGAGCAAGGGCCTCCCTTCCCCGCAGGGACCGGGCACCCAGCCCCAGCTGACCCATGAGCTAGAGCGGGGAAGGCCTGGTCTGGATGCAGGCTGCAGCGGGGTCTGAGAGTGTGAGGTGCCCACATCCAAAGCCGAAATCACTTTACCCAGAAGGGCCACCCAGGGTCCCCTCAGGTGGGGAGGAAGCATGAATAAAACATGCGTAAAAAGACAAAACCTTCCAGGGATTCAGCCATTTCACAGCCATGAACGTGTGGTCTCTCCTCCACTGTTCCAAGTGGTGTTTTCGTAACCACAGGTGCATATGCAGAGGCTGGCTTTAGACACAGAAGGGGACAGAAGCTGGGCAGAGCAGCAGCTCCTGCTGGGGATGTCGTGGCAGCCTCTGCCTGCACTGAGCAGTGCATCTGCATCTGCCTCAGCTGGTTACCTAGACCTGGTGGTTACCAGCAGAGGGAGGATGAGAGAAAACAAAATCGACAGCACCTGGAGGAAACAAGCTTGAGAGTCGAGGGTGTCAGAGATGCTGGGAGGGAGATGTCAGTCAAAGCGCTTTTTAGCTGTGACCCAGCACCCAGGCGTCCCCAGTCAGCCTCCCCATGCATCCGTCACTCACCCTCACCCCCAAAGGCACTGCTTCTGACCACACCTGTGTTCTGCTTTTGGGTGCAGAACCTGACCAATGAGGAGCAGGTGGTTGTCATACAAGCCAGGACGGTCCTGACCTTGGCCGAAAAGGTAAGAGCAGCTGTGTGGACACTCGGGAGAGGGCCGAGCTCCTGGGGTCTCCTGCCCTGCTCAGCTCAGAGAAGGTGATCTTGGGAGGACCTTGGTGGCCTGCAGGACCGGGTTTGGGGGGTCCACTAAACCCTGTCTGCCCTGGGAGATCTGGCATACTCAGGTCAGACAGCACCCACTGTGCATGTTTGCAAAGGGCAGATTCAGCTCCACTTTGCTCTGACAGCAACCCTGTCTGGGTTTCTTCCTAAAGGCGGGAAGGTATGGTGAGTCTGCAGGCAGCATTCTCTGTTCAACTTATCCTGACCGCTTTCTGGGGCCACTCAGCCCACCACCTGCTCCTAGTCCCACCCCTGGCCCTGACCTGCCTGGTGGGCTGGGCCTCCCACAGCAAGGAGAAGGGGTGCTCCTGGCACATAGGGGTTTGGAGAAACAGGCCACCCCTCCCCGCCCTTGGTGGCAGAGCTCTGCAGATGTGTCTCTCCCACAGTGCCCCAAGCCAGCGTCTCTTCTCTCCTGGAGGTGGTATCAGGGGCAGACTTCCTGGATACCTGAAGGGTGGGAGGGGCAGGGCCATGATTCCAGCGCAGCCCCAACTCCCTGGAGAGGGCTGGGCTCTCCCCTCCCTAAGGAGAAGAGGAAGGAAGACCCAGGCTGCCCTGGCTTCTCTCTCAGCTGTCTCCGCAAGCCGGGGTGGGGGACCCTAGGGGTCATTGTCCTGCTTGTTCTGTTTGTGCCCAGTGGCTCCAGCAGATTGAGGAGACAGAGGCGGCACTGCAGCGGAAGATGGTGGATCTGGAGAGTGAGAAGGTTGGTGGCACCTTCCCTGAGGTTCTGCGGCTCGGCGCTGCAGGTGGGACATCCGAGATAGAGGCACGGTCCTCCTGTGTTTCAGGAGCTGTTCAGTAAGCAGAAGGGCTACCTGGACGAGGAGCTGGACTACCGGAAACAGGCCTTGGACCAGGCCCACAAGGTGAGAGGCACAAGGCTGCTGGAACCCTGGGGAGGGGCATTGGGGTGAAAACAGCCACGTGGCTCAGGTGCCCAGCGGTGCCTCAGATGCCTATGCGAATCAGGTTACAGGGCCCCTAACAGCCCCTAATGACACCTGCACAGCAGGCCCTGGCTCTCCAGAGCTGCCTGATGGGGTCTTCACTTGGAGCTTCATAAACAGAGCAGGATTAGTTGAGGGGGTCTAAACCCACACTGTGCCATGAGAACGTTCTACAGTCTTTGTGCAGGTCACTCGGGCTCGCAAACACACCCTGATTCCTAAAGGCTGTCCAGGCATTGGTGCGGGCTGGTGTCTACCTCCCACCCCTCCCCTGAGAAACCAGTGGCTGCTCACTAGTGGAAGGCGTGGTCTTGTTTTATTTCATCTGCTGTGGCTGGGAGGAGCATAGGACATTTCTAGGTTGAAAACTAGGCTTCAGAACTGGGTTCTCTTGCTGGGAGCTACTTCCCCCGTGACTGCCAAGCAATCATCTGTCCCTGCTGGACTCCTATCATGTGACGGAAGGTACGACCGGGAGGATATTCAGGTCGTGTTGTGGAAAGACAAGTGTCACCACCAAGAGGTTCACCTTGGGACCCAGCCCAGCAGGCAGGATCTTGACTGTCATGGTGGGCTGGGATGAAAATGCTCATTCCTGGGGCCAAGTCAGCCTGGGAACTCTCAGAGTGATGGTGATGATGATCGTGATGATGATGGTGATGATGACAATGGTGGTGGTGATGATTCTGCTGGCAGTGATAATGGTATGGTGGTAGTGGTGGTGGTGGTGATGGTGGTAATGGTGGTGATGATGATCATGATGATGGTGGTGGTAGTGGTGATGGTCATGATGATGATTATGATGGTGATAATGGTTATCATGATGCTGGTGGTAGTGTTGATGGTGATCTTGATGGTGATGATGGTGATCATGGTGGTGATAATGGTTATGGTGATGGCAGTGGTAGTGATGGTAATAATGGTGATGATAGTGGCGATGATCATGATGATGGTGGTAGTGGTGATGGTGATAATGGTGATCATGATGGTGATAATGGTTATGGTGATGGCAGTGGTAGTGATGGTTATAATGGTGATGATAGTGGCGATGATCATGATGGTGGTAGTGGTGATGGTGATGATGATGGTGATCATGGCGATGATCATGATGTTGGTAGTGGTGATGGTAATAATGGTTATGGTGATGATGGTGATGGTAGTGGTGATGGTGATGACGGTGATTATGATGGTGATAATGGTTATCATGATGCTGGTGGTAGTGATGATGGTGATTATGATGGTCATCATGGTTATGGTGATGACGGTGGTGGAGATGGTGATGATGGTGGTGATGTAGTGGCGATGATGATCATGATGATGGTAGTAGTGGTCATAATGATGGTGATGATCATGGCGATGATCATGATGATGGTGGTAGTAGTGATGATGGTGATAATAGTGATGATGATGCTGATAGTGATGGTGGTGATCATGATGGTGATAATAGTTGTGATGATGATGGCAATGATCATGATGACGGTGGTGGTAGTAGTGGTAATGGTGATGATAGGTGATGATGCTGGTGGTGATGATGATCATGATGATGTTGGTGGTAGTGATGGTGGTGATATGGTGGTGATGATCATGACTGGTGGTAGTGGTGGTGATGATGGCGATCATGATGGTGATGATGGTGATTGATGATGGCGATCATGGTGACAATGGTGATTGATGATGATGGTGATGGTGATGATGGTGGTGGTGATGATGAGGATGATAATGATAGTATTATAATGAGAGCCTACTCAAGAGGCTTTCCCATGTGGCAGGCACTGATCTGGCCAGCCAGGCACAGAAGCTGGTGACCTGCCCAAGGACACACAGTCAGAATGAAGGCAGGAGTCGAATCTCAGCATTCTTCCCCTGCACCCACAGCCATGACTGCTGCACTAGGCATCTCTCCTTCCCGCACTTGTGGATTCGAGTTCCTCACATAAAGGGGCCAGGGCTCAAAAGCAGAACCCTACAGAGCAAAGAGCAGTCACACCAGGCACCTGGCATCCTGGGCAGGGGTGCAAGGCCCATGTCAGTTGCTGTGGAAGCCGGTGTGGGAGCCATGGGAGGCTTTGGAAGCAGATGACCTGGGTTTGAGGCCCAACTCAGCCAGTAACCACTAGGGATTGGGAGTTCCTGTAAGATGCTGGGCATGGAGGCTAGTCCTGGCTAAACTGGTAATGGCCCTCCTGTTGCTATGGTTAGTTTCACTATTGCTGACCAGCACGTGTGCACATGCCTGCTTGGGAGCAGCTCACAGGTTGCTGGCTCTCCTTCCCGGGCCACTGTCCTCATGGCCTCTGGGTACTGAGAGCCAGTCCTGGGTGAGCTGGCCCCAGCAGTGGTGAGACCTGCGTCCCTCCAGGTGGCCAGGGACCTGCGCAGTACACAGCATGTCTGTCCACCCTGCTCATGGGGCAGCCCCCAGGCGCAGGCTGCTGCAGGCTTAGCTTCCTGGGCAGTCCTCTGGGTCTTGCCTGCTTTGGTCAGAAGGAAAGAGGCTGGAAGTGGGTAGTTGCTTGATGTAAAAAGCAGAGGCCCCTCAGTGCCCCAGGCCATCCATGCTGCAGCCAGCTGATACTCCTCTGCCCACGCCTTCTGGGATGCCTGGCTGCCCTTACTGGAGAGACTTTCTTGGCGAGGCGACAGGTCCTGCAGGCTCTAGGCTCCCGCCTCCCCCCCCAGCTCAGTCTCTGTCCCCCGAAGCCCCTTGGCTCTCCAGCCTCCTCATACCCCCTCATTTTCCTCATCCTGTTCATGCTGATTGCTGGCATAGACAGGTTCCTCTCTGGTGGATAAGGAAGAACCCTCTAGAACAGTGATCTCCCATGAGCACCAAGGCCCACGTCACTTCCTGGGTGGAGAGGCAGCTGGGATCCAGCTAGGGATCAGCCTACTTGGTAGGCATCTCCACTGCTATGCAGCCACCCCCACCACAGGCCAGGAGACGGAGGACCCCACCCAGCCTTCGCTGATGCTGTTCCGTCCTTCTGGGGCTCCCTCCCTTTCCTTCTCCTGCCCATCCCTGACTGACACTGCAAGCCTCAGTTTAGCACCTCATCTCCTCTAGGAAACCTTCCCTGACTCCCAGTGAGGTGGCCCTGACACGCCCCACTTGTGGAAATGGGTCTGCCTTTCTATGGGGCAAGCAGGGATCGTGTGCATCTGCTACCATCTGGTCTCCTAGACCAGCACGAGGCCTGGCAGGCAGCAGGTGCTTTGTGGGTGATGCATAGATGAAGAGGAAAAGAGCTAAGGATTGTGCAAAGGCTTTTAAATCCAGCCCACCTTGAGACAGGAAAGGGAAGAGAAGGGCACGCATTTCTTTTTTTAATATTGCATTTTTTTCCTGAATGAAAAAAGAATCAATGTACAGTTCTAATTTACAACACAGAAAAATCCAAGAAAAAATTCACCATGTGCCCAGCACACAGAGAAAGACTGTGGGCATTCTGGTTTCTCTCCTGGTGGTCTCTTGGCAGGATGGGGATACACATAGTAGTTTTGCAAAAGTGGGGTCCCCATGCTTATCTGAGGCTTGCTGTCTGAAATCTTCTGAGAGATGGTCATCACGCCAATGGTAGGAAATGTTCACAGTAGGAAAGGACATTTTCTTCCCGTTCCTGTTCTCTGGACTCCAGATGCCACCAACAAAGGGGACCCACTTGCTGGTTCTTTTTTCCTTCCTGGATTACACCCCACATGTGTGTGCATGTACATTTTCATGGATAGCCTGAGAACCCCAACGAGCTGCAGCACGCTTCCCTTTCACCTGACCGTGCACAGCCAGGGCGCTTCCCACCAGCCCAAGGGGCGACTTGGTGTGAGCGCATCATGGACTGTTTGTCCCCAGTAGTGGACTTAGGTAGTGTCCATGCATTAGCTATCACAAGCAAAATAGCAATTCCTATCCCTTTCTGACATCCCAACACACAAATAGAAATTATCTGCAGGAAATATTCTTTGGATCGACCAAAGGGTTATGCACACTTAAAGCATTGTTAGGAACTGTCGAATATTTCTCCCCATAGTAGGTACAACTTGCACCCCAAACTTCCACTGCATGGTGTGCAGCTGCCTGGTGCAGTCCTAGCAGGCGTGTCTCCTGGTGAGCTCAAAGTTTAACACGTTTCTATGCAACTCCACGCCACGTCTGTTTGTGACCTTTCCCACCTCTCTCTCATGCTATCTACCTTTTGGTCAGAGTTCTTGATAAAAGAAGGCAACCAGCCCTTTGCCATCCATTGCAAATATTTCCTTTATTTCCTCACTCAGAAGAATGGTACATTGCAGATATTTCACCCAGCTTGTCAGTTGCTCTTTGATGTCAAACACTGTTTTGAGGGCCTGGAAGAATTTGGGTAATTTTTATGAGGTTGATGGCCTCCAGGTTTTATGGCATAATTTCAAATTTGTCCTTCATACAAAAAAAAAAAAAGATTGTACAAAAATATTCCAGTGTTTTCTTTCAGCATTACTTTGAGGTGTGTGTGAGGCACGTGTAAAGAGGAAAAGGAAATTTGTGCACCTCCAGGATGGCAGCCCCCCCCCGCCCCCCAGGCAGCATTTGTCTACTCAGCCATCCACCTTTTCCACCCTAATGTCACAGATAATTCCCCTTTGTAAGATCGTGTCTGGAGTGATGCCTCAGGCCCAGAATCCCTCCACTGGGTCGGGAGAGTCGTCCCATGATTGGAGAAGTAGCCTGTGGGCCCCTTGACCTGACCAGAATGCAGAATCTGAGCACAGAAAGCTCCAGGAGTGGGGGCCTGGCCTAGAGCAACTGCCACCATGGTCCCTGTGACATGGTCCCTATGATCAGACATCCTGTGGACACCCCATGGGATTAGAGATGTGGGTCTCAGGAGTGGGGGCCTGGC